TGTTTCATTGTAATGATTTTGAGGTGTTAATTAATTAAAATTTTAGTGTAATTTCTCTAATTCATTTTATGCCCATAACATGTTTGTAGAAATTACTCAATGAAGTTTTTGTTGAAATTCAAGACTTTTTTCCATTCTTTCCTTGATCTTCTTGGATGGATATCATGGGAAAGGAAGTATCCCACTTTAGTGATGAGGTTCTTTTGGATGGCTTGACATGGGGAGATGAAGGTGACAAGGTTGATTAACTACTCTTTGTCTTACAGCCAGACAAATTTTGTCTGGGCCAGACATTAGTAGTCTGTGCCAATTAACTACTCTCTGTCTTACAACCAGACAAATTTTGTCTGGGCCAGACATTAGTAGTCTGTGCCAATTAACTACTCTCTGTCTTACAGCCAGACAAATTTTGTCTGGGCCAGACATTAGTAGTCTGGGCCAATTAACTACTCTCTGTCTCACGGCCCGACAAAAGTTGGTTGTGCCAGACAATAGATGTCTCTTCCAGACAAATTGACTATGCCTCACATATGTTATTTGTACCAAATATGTGTTCTGACTATGTGTTGTGTATTAATCGTAGGTTGAACAATGTGTTGGGAAAATGTGTTGAGTATTGTACAATGTTACATGTTCAATGTTGAACAATTGGATTAAGTTTTTTGAACATCTGTAAGTTTTTGCAAATATTACATGTACAATCATCCACTTATGTATGTTGACCTTTTGTTTGTCTGGGTATCTACGGTATGGTCTGTACTCACCCCGACGAGGAGTTTACAAATTGGGGTGAGGACAACTTTATAGTACTTTGTAATTAATTTCTTAAAGTACAAATTGGGGTGAGGACAACTTTAACACCTCAAAAAAAGTTTGCACTTCTTAAACTCCTCTTCGGGTAAATTTTTTGGGGTGAGGACAGGTTTATAGTACTTTGTAAGCTTTTTGTTTGTCTCAAGGGGTGAGGACAAACAAAAAGCTTACAAAGTACAGACCATACCGCAGCAAGTCTCAAGGGGATGATCTGTAGCATACCGCAGGAGGAGTTTAAGAACGACAAAAAGTTGTCCTCACCCCTTGACCCACCCCCACAAACCAACCAACCTCACACTTCGTTTCAAGCTCTGAGGCAGTGAAGAGGCAGTTCCCGTCCGACTGCACCTCCCCAAACGAGGTTGATGACGAAGGTGAGATGGTCTTGAAAGACTTGAGATGGTCCTTTTTCCTCATTTTTTGGTATTTTTTCGTCCAACTCCACATGAAAAACGGTTGTGTGTCTGACAGACAAATTTGAATTGCAGCGTTTGTCTAGCTGAGCATTGTTTCACAATTGGTAGAGTCTTACATAAGATGTCTGTCCGGACAGACAAATTTATTTGTTAGTGTATGTATGCACATCTTATTTTACAAATGTATTTTATAGTATGTGTGATGACTTTTGTGATGTCTCTCTTCGGATGTTGAAAATTGGTTTGTAGTTGTCTGTGAAGTGAAAAGAGTTGTCTGACATTCCATTTGAATTGTCTTTAATGTGATATAAAATGTCTGGCCTTTCTTCTGAGTTGTCTGTCTACAGGTCGGGAGAATGTGGAGTGATTGTGGCTTCCTTTGCAGAGCACCTGTTAATGGGAAAGCCATTGATTCTAGGTTGTGAGTATGCAAACACGTGGAACAAGAGATGTCAATACGTCGTTCGTTTGTGGCGATTGGAGAAGGTGGAGGAAGCATAAGAATTGTTATTAATGTGGGAATGTGTTTTTGTGGGTTGTTTTGATGGGTTTAGTAAAACTGTATTTTATAGTACATTTTGATTAGTTTAGTAATTGTTAATGTGGTTATATAAAAGTGTTCGGAGATATGATTGTATTTGTTAATGTACAGAGATAACCGTTGAATAGACAAACAACAGAGATAACCAGACAGACATTACTTTCACGCAGAAAGACAATAACTTTACACATACAGACCATACCGCAGATACCCAGACAAACAAAAGGTCAACATACATAAGTGGATGATTGTACATGTAATGTTTGCAAAAACTTACACATGTTCCAAAAACTGAATCCAATTGTTCAACATTGAACATGTAACATTGTACAATACTCAACACATTTTCCCAACTGTAATATGAAAAAAAAAATACATGTTCAAAAATTCACAAGTTCAAAACGAACACATTTTCCCAACACTCTATACTTCAGCATTCTTCAAGACTAGTTTATATAATCCTTGCATTTGTTTCTCCATTGCAAAAGAAGTCACACATGGTATCATTTTTGTAAATGAATTAGCGTTCGCTTGGAACTCTTTTTCAGCCTTACATTTTAAGTCATTCGTCATCTTGAAGTGAATACCTACGATTAATACACAACACATAGTCAGAACACATATTTGGTACAGATAACATATGTGAGGCATAGTCAATTTGTCTGGAAGAGACATCTATTGTCTGGCACAACCAACTTTTGTCAGGCCGTGAGACAGAGAGTAGTCAATTGGCCCAGACTACTAATGTCTGGCCCAGACAAAATTTGTCTGGCTGTAAGACAGAGAGTAGTTAATTGGCACAGACTACTAATGTCTGGCCCAGACAAAATTTGTCTGGTTGTAAGACAGAGAGTAGTTAATTGGCACAGACTACTAATGTCTGGCCCAGACAAAATTTGTCTGGCTGTAAGACAAAGAGTAGTTAATCAACCTTGTCACCTTCATCTCCCCATGTCAAGCCATCCAAAAGAACCTCATCACTAAAGTGGGATACTTCCTTTCCCATGATATCCATCCAAGAAGATCAAGGAAAGAATGGAAAAAAGTCTTGAATTTCAACAAAAACTTCATTGAGTAATTTCTACAAACATGTTATGGGCATAAAATGAATTAGAGAAATTACACTAAAATTTTAATTAATTAACACCTCAAAATCATTACAATGAAACAAACTAATCAATTATTCACTTTTATATCATACATAAAAGTTGTCTGGTCACACACACATTTTATGTACGACTCTAACTCATATAAAACCATGTTCACTTCAAACAACTATGAAACCGCTTTCACTTTAGGCTAGACAGACACTGCAGTTCCAAAATGTCTGTCCGCCAAACAAAATACAAACAAATGACGAAAAACAACATACTCTTCTCCAAGACTTCAACGTCCACACCTTCATCATCTTCTTTCCTTGAAGTCGTCGCTACTTCAACAGCGACCGGAGATGGTAGATTTCCATCTTCACCCACGTCATCAAGCTTGTGACCTTCATCTTCCCATGTCAAGCCATCCAAAACAACCCATCGCTAAACTCGGATACTTCCTTCCCCATATATCCATCCAAGAAGATGAAAGAAAGAAGCAGGTGAGAGGATGGGTTGAGCACTGTAGCAAGTTTTGAAGGAGGAGAGGTGTTTTGGCGTAAAGTTGAGGAGTGGGTTGGGGAGATGTGAGAGAGGTGAGAGAAAAGTATTTTTGAAAAGAGGTAAAAAGGATGGTAAGAAAATGGGGTATTTATATAGGGTAGGAAATGGGGTAAACTTGCGCAAATTATACCGTGGGATCGGCCCACCGTGCGCATGGTGTGCCGATCCCAAAACGGTAGCGTTTAATTATTAATAAAAAGAAAAGAGACCGAACAATTTGTCGTCTTCTCTGGTCATCTCGTTAAAAAACAGAGCAGTCAAAAATTTACGACTCTTGAATCGATGGGCGATTTCATCTCTACGCCCATAAATCCGTTTCCTTTCTATACGAAACCTCCATATTGAATTTAAATTTCATAACATTTTAATTTCCGACGGGTTCTTATTGTCAAAATCCATTGACAAATTTGATTTGTCATTAAATCTAAGCAAATCGGTGGAGTTCCCTTGTCTGCCTTCAAATCGGTGGAGTTTGCTCAAATCAGTCGCTAGCCCCTTCTATATATCTAGTAGTTTACTTTTTAATGGCTATTCTATTTCCATGAATATTTGGAGATTACTTCTGAAGACTCTCGAACCATCACACTTAAACTTGAAAATAAGCATTTCAGTCATACATGATATGCTGCAATAAAGCTCCACATTAAGGATTAGTATATACGTAGTATATATATATTATTAGAGTTATATCTTCTTATACACGAGTTACATATTTTTATGTGTGAGTTACATCTTATTATGTGCGAGTTACATCTTCATATGTGTGAGTTATGCTTGTAGACAATTTCTATAGTTACATTTGATATAATATGCAGTTACATTTTTTTATGGGCGAATTACATCTTCTTGTGCACGAGTTACTTCTTTCTATGCGCGAGTTACATTTAGACTTCTCTCAACAAATATTTTGCATGCACCTAAGTTAGATTTTTCACCAACGGGAGTTACATTTTCCATAACTTGAGTTACCACAACATAAAGCACTGCTATTGAAACAAAAGAAACATTTTTTAGAAAAAAAAAATATTTTTGGCAAAAAAATGATTTATTGGGCAAAATAAGTGATTTTATTCAAATCATTTTATAGCCTTAACATTTAAAATAGAACATATTCATTGTTTAAGGAAGCTCCTCCTATTGAAACAAAAAATACTCACTTTTTCCCAAAAAAAGAAAAAAGAATTTTTGGCGAAAAATGATTTTTTGGGGATTAAAAATAAAACATATTCACGATTTATGAAAAGTAATTGTGTAGTTAGACTCTTGTTTTCATTGTTTGCATTGAAATCAAAGTTTTATTTTTTATAGTATGTATTTGGTAAGTTACATTTCGAATGGACTTGAGTTACATTGATCAATAACGTGAGTTACATATCTTTACACGCGAGTTACACCATTCATACTACTGGGACAAAAAAGCAGTTACTGTACACGCGTGTACTGTTCACGCATTACTGTTCACGCGAATTTTTTTTAAAAAAAAATTGTGCAAAACTACGTCGTTTTGGGTGTGGGAGCACGGTGCTCACCGTGGGGTGTTACCACGGTATAAGAACTGGTAAACTTGAGGTACCTGTAGCATTTTTGTTTTAGCTATGGGAGTACGGTCCGCATCCTACACTTATCCCACGGTATACCAACTCGTAAGCTTAGCTTAAGGTCGGAGATAAAGCGTTGAAAAAGAATTTCCAAGAAAAATTTGGAATGTCCTCGTTAACGGTGAAACCCTTGTTCTCGATTCAATCTTTGCGTTATTCACCTTCGTCGACTCTTGTTTTCCTCCGTAAAGATCGCCTCTTTCAATCGGCTAGCATCCATGGGAAAACAAATTTCCCGGGAAGTCTCGTTTTGAAAGCTCATTCTTTCGAGAGTTCCGATGTTGACGCCGAGAGCAAAGACAAAAACAACCCCAATGCTGCCGATTCCAAACCTCCAAACGGCACTGTGGTACTCTCCGTCACACTGTATCTACTCTTCTTCTTCTTATTTTTTTTGCATCGAACCAATATTCTATATTTTCCCATTTTGCCTTATTTTAATCTGATCACTTATTGCTCTCTCTAAAAAGAGTATTCAAATTCTTTAATACTTCGTATGCATAGAAATATGTAGAGGGGTAGTGTTCATGTGCGGGGATGTGGCAGGCTATTATTATTATTATTATTATAAACAAAAGGGGTTCAGTGCACTAAAACACTCATGATATATAATTTCGTGCATTACTCCTGATTTAAAAAAAATCAGTCAAACCTGCAAGTGTTATAACTAATCATACCACTTTTATGGAACCAATTTAGCGGTCTAGTGGTATAATTAAACATGCACGCAAATATGACAAGATTTATAAACTACACACAAATACTAAACATTTTTTTATTTGAATGTTAATTTTTTTTTTTCAGGGTGTTGTTGTGTGCATGATGTTATATAACACGAGGGTTTGAAGTTTTTAAATCATGAGGGCTAATGCGCATAATTTATATACCACAAGAGGATTTGTTCCATAAAACCCTACATAAAAAGTTGTTGCTATTTTGAATTCATGAAGCCATTAATTTGCATGTTTGAGTACAAAAATGTGAATTTTGCACATTTGCAGCATAAGAGCAGGAAGGATATATTGCTAGAGTATGTGCAAAATGTGCAGCCTGATTTTATGGAATTCTTCATCAAACGAGCCCCTCAACAGGTACTATTTGCAGTTTCTTTAAATGAAGTCTACGCTATTCAAGGTGACACCATGCATCAGTGAGTCCAGTGACGTGATGTCATTTGAATTATCAGAGGTGTGCGCTAGCCTATTACGTTTCTAGTGGTGCCATGTCATTGGCCCACCTCTAATGGGTGAGCTGAGCTCGGATAATGTATATACTAGCCAAGGCTTTGTTTTGTTAGTAAAACATGCCATATTCTGCTTAACAACAAAATATGCAGAATAAGGGCCCGTTTCGGTAAGAGTCATTTGCCTGAAATCAGGGGCGGAGCCAAGGGGGAGTCAGGGTGGTCAGCCGACCTCGCTAAAAGTTTGAGAGTATAGGGCTCTGAAATATCTTCGATTTGATATATTATGGCCCCCGTAACTCATTGCGAGTAAAGAGTAATGACTTCTGAAAAATCAGCACTATCTAAACGTAAAATCAGCAAAATTTGATGCATACTATAGATTATTCTCCCAAATTTTAAAAATAGGGTATAATTCACTCAATAATTACGTGACACGACTCAAAAACAGAGCAAAGACAATCTATCTTATTGCTACGAGTGCCTATTTATCTAAACTGCATATGAAATATTCAACTCGGACATTGTTTAAAAACGATCCACCATTTTCATTCTGTATATAGGTTGAGTTTTGACCCCCCTGAGCCGTCTGGCTCCACCACTGCCTGAAATGGATTATAATCTGTTCTGAGAGGAAAAGCCTCTTGTAGCATCCACTCCTGCAGTTCTGCCAAACAAATTACTCAAAATATACTTATTTTGAGTTTTAGCTAATAACAAAATATGCAGAATAAGGGTCTGTTTTGGTAAGAGTCATTTGCCTGAAATGAATTATAATCTGTTCTGAAAGGAAAAGCCTCTTGTGGCATCTACCTATTTTGAATTTTAGCTAACCATATTCTGCTTAACAACAAAAAATGCAGAATAAGGGCCCGTTTTGGTAAGAGTCATTTTCCTGAAATGGATTGATATGTTCTGTGAGGAAAAGCCTCTTGTAGCATCCACTCCTGCTGTTCTTCCAAGTGCCAAACAAACGAGTCAAAATCTACTTATTTTGAGTTTTAGCTAAATCTGCAGAATAAGCTGATTACTGCTACTAAACAGGACTTAAGTAGTTTTTTTACTTATCTGGCTGAATTGGGAGTTACGAAGTGGATTTTCTTCAGAAACTGAGGCGAGTCAACCAATTTCTGCCAAATAACTCTTAGCAAATTCATCCAAAAAAAAAACTCTTAGCAAATGAGCACTAGACCCAGAACGACGCTGTTTCATGTTTGCCATGTGGCTATTAGTTGTTGCCAAACAATGTGGTGAGAACTAAACTGATTATATTGATGATGTCGTGAAAGGTAGTGGAAGCAATGCGCCAAACAGTAACAAATATGATGGGGACACTTCCACCACAGTTTTTCTCTGTCACTGTAACCACTGTATGTGATTTTATTCTCTTATCAAGCTTTTGTATTCTCCCTCAAGCTTTTCTGTTTTAAGTATGTAAAGCTATTAGAATTGACTCAGACGCTTTTTAATTTGTGTTGCAATTCATTTTTTTCTCAGGTTGCAGAAAATCTTGCACAACTTATGTATAGTGTTATGATGACGGGCTATATGTTTCGAAATGCACAGTTTCGATTGGAGATGCAGCAAAGTTTGCAACTTGCTGCTCTTCCTTATCCTGAAGCGCAAGATACAATTGTGAGTTTTTTGTGTTGCATTTTAACCCCTTTTTGGGGTTTTAAAATATACTCCGTACATAATAGGATTACACGTGGATGTATGAGTGTGGTTGGGACTTGGGAGATGACAAGGAGTATATTCAAATCAAGATAAAACACTTCTTTGCCCTAGGCAAGCATGGTTTAAAAAAGGTATAAGGGCTTAGGTTTTTTTTTGCATGTCAAGTTGCACGGATTTTGAGGTGCGCCTCAAGTTGAGGCGTATAAAGAAGGTATCAGGGCTTAGGTTTTTTTTGCATGTCAAGAGGCTTACGCCTCGAGAGTTGAGGCGTACGCCTTGAGGCGTTTTTTGAGGCGTGGGTTCCTTTGTTTCTGTATTTTTAATAGGCTGTGCCTTAAGAAAGGCCTGAATTATTTTAAGTAGTATTTAATAAAAGGACCATAGCCGACCCCAATATCGTTTGGGACTAAGGCTTGGATGTTGTTGTTGTTGTATTTAATAAAAGGACCATACATTAAACATGTATCCATAGTCCAAACTAAACCCCTAACAAGTCCTTTTCATTCAAATTATTCAGTAGTTGTTAAAATGTTTGCATATTTCTGGACACAGAAGTTTTCATACTCCTTCACGAAGAAGTAGACAACTTACAAACAGTCCATTCTTCTGCTCCTCCTCTTCTTCTACATCTCTTCTCCTTCTTCATCTTCTCGACTTCTCTTATTCATCTCCTTCTCTCCTCTTTCTTCTTGTACTAAGCTGTTGGTCATCTTTTCCTAGAACTGGTCAAGGTTTTACAAGATGAAAGATGGACTCCTCAAATTAAGATCCCTAACCAATGATGAGGAAAATCTTTTGGTTGATTATTTGCAATCTGATGATGAATGGCTTGTGTTTATACTTGTGTTTGATACTTTTTGGAATTATAATTATCCATTTCTTTAGTTGTTTATTACTAGTTTAACTAATATATGTTCTATCTATTGGTATATTTTGAGCCTTACGCCTCGCCTCTCCAGAACAAACCGTCTCGATACCCGAACCAGCCTTTTTAAACCTTGTAGGCAAGTGAAGGTGGCGTGTGACCTTGTGAAGACTCTAAGGAATAACTATAGGAATGAACACTCAAGTACGAATCAATGTGATATATGATGTTTAATATCATTCTGGATCAATGCTCATACTTTATCTCTATTGTTGTTGGTTTAGCGCAAGCCTTCAGAAAAATTCTTAGAGACAATGTGATAGATTATGTTTTTTTAACATACCATTTGATCTCGGAAAAGTTTGGCATTGCAAGTTACTACTTTTCAAGCTTGAGGACAAGCTTGATGTCCATGATGGAAGTAATAATGACGCACATCTCACGATAGAGTTGCGCAAAAAGCCACAAGCCATGAGGTGCAATAATACTTTCCATATCTCATAATAGCGAGTCGATATCATTGAATCTTGGTGGCCTTTTATAGGCATTAAAAGGTATTAACACCAGGTGCTTTTGCGCATGGACATAAAAATTCCTTCAACTGTGGCCTGTTGTGCAGCTCTATCATGAGATATGCATGTATTATTACTTCCTTTGTGGACATCAAGCTTGTCCTCAAGCTTGAAAAGTTGTAACTTGTTATGCCAAACTTTATTGAGATCAAATTGTCTATGAGAATTTTTCTTAATGCTTGCACTAAACCAACGAGAATAGAAATAAAGTATGCCATTGATCCAGAATGGCCTTGTGATTATGACTGAACACTCAAGTTTGGCCTTGTGGTAACAATGTTTTGTGCCTTCTGCATCCTTTAATTTTAAATCGAGCTGTCCATCTATTTTTAAAGTTTGGGAAAACAAAACAGAAAACCACGGTGTTTCCTACTTTTTCAAGTCTTTTTTGGTTTGATTTCAGAACCAACATTATTGATTAAAAAATGGACACTCGTAGTCTTTTAGGAAAGCTACGTCTGAACACTCAAGCATGAATGAAAGTATATGAAAGTAGGGAAGTGGTAGAGAGGGTCTACCACTCATGGTGTATCATGAGTGGTAGAGAGGGTCTACCACTTTTATGCCAGAAATAGTGTCGTCATGAGTAGGCCTTTTGCACAGCTGTATCATGGTGAGCTGGCAGGTTGTAGACAAGGTCTTCACGCAAAAGGTGTATAAAAGGCCTTTGTGGTTCCACACTCAGTAGACATCAAACTTATCACAAGTTTGAAAAGGAGTAACTTGTTATGCCAAACATTTCCAAGATCGAATGGTATGTCACAAAACATCATCTATCACATTGTCTATAAGAAATTTTCTTAAGGCTTGTGCTAAACCTGCGGGAGTAGAGATAAAGTATGAGCATTGATCCAGAATGGGCCAATTAAATCTTCCCACTACTGCATGTTGGGTGCTTTCCCAAGCAAATTACAGACACGACAATTATGTAACATAATAAATATTGGGTTCTGCGACATTATAAATTGAAGTGGTGCTACAGAAAAGTGCATCCTTTCTTGTGAATTCTTCCAGTGGTTTGTGACCTCAGATGCACGTGCAGCGCAGGATTCAGTGTCTCACTTTCTCCTCTGCTATTGCAAAAGGCGTTGTGTTGTTTACTTGATCCAAAATTAAAACCAATGTTCAGGACTTCAGGTGATCTTGGGAGATGGTATACATGACTCATCCAGTGCTAATTGCTGTCCGAAAAAAGGAGCTGCTGGTAGCGTTAGTTTTTTGGCAGTTGCAGCACATTTGGCATTGACCAAGAAAAGTCAATTTGGCGAACCTTTTCAGGATGGAGGGAGTAACAAACATTTATATATATAAAGTAGGATCTTACGATCCGAGTTACGATCCTACGATTTACGATCTTTCAGACTCCTTCTGATCCTACGTAGGATCTTGAGTTTGATTGCCATGGTCCATCTATCCTTCTCGTCGCTCTGCGTTGTTCTTATTTACGTTGTTCTTATTTGCGTCCGCCTGTCCCTCCGTGTGCGTCGGCATGCTTAATTAGGGAGACGATATTATATACAAAGTATATTACCTTGAGTGGGTTCCATAGTATCCTTCTTGACTTCTGATATGCCGCATGTAAATATCCTTTTGGTGTCTCTTGAGAAGATTATATACTCCCTACGAAGTATTACATTCCATTTTTTAGTTTAATGTTTGTTTAGGTTCAAAATTACTTCTTGCCACGAATTTTACTATTTTTTCTGTTTTAGGCAATGTTTTTAATTATTTATATTCAAAATTTTTCTTTATTCTTAATGGAGTTTCACTTTTCATATAATTTGAATTTTTGTTTCAAATTAGAGTTTCCTTTGTTTCTATTCTAAGTGGAGTTCCCTTTATTCTTAGTGGAGAAACAACAAAGTGTCAATGAGTTGACGGAAAAATACTCTTATTCTGCTATTTAACAATAAGGGTGATGTACAAGAATGTGTCAACTATCGAGGGATTAAGCTAAGGCCATTCGTCTTCTTATACAAGTTGTGGAGACATATAGAGACATTTAAAAAGTTTTGCATTTGGTGTTCATTGAATTAAAAAAAGAATATGATAGGGTACCTCAAGAAGTTATTTAGTGGTCCTTAACTAGAAAAGGCATATCACGTAAGTATAACGAGTTCATTATGGATATATATGAGCCTTGTACTACAAGTGTCCGTACTTGTGTAGCGAGGATTGCAGAGTTCCCTATTACTATCGGAGTGCACCATGGATCAACTATGAGTCCTTTCTTGTTTGCTATAGTCATGGATGAACTTATGAAGTTAATTCAAGAAGATATACCGTGGTGCATGATGTTTGCCGACGATATTGTATTGATTGATGAGACACAATCGGTTGTTAAAGTAAAGTTGAAAGTATGATGACAAACATTGGAGATCAAGGGTTTCAGACTGAGCCGAAACAAGATTGAATATATGGAGTGCAAGTTTGGTGGAGTTAGAAGTAGTAGTAATAGTGGGAGTGGGATGACCCTTGATGGCAAAGATATCGATGTGTGTTATGTTCCGTTACTCGAGCTCCATAATTCTGAAAGATTGTTGTGAATCAAATGGAGATGTATCCCATGGAATCATATTGGGGTGGATGAAATGGAAGAGTGCATCAACATTTTTATGTGATCGAGGTATACCGACTAGACTCAAGAGTAAAATTTATCGCACAACGATCAGGTCTGCATTAATGTATGGTGTAGAGTGTTGTGTGAAAAACCGCTTGAGGAATGTGATAATCGGACAAAAGGTGAGAGTTCACTTATAACAGATAAGATGTAGGAGTTTATTGCGGTGGTTTAGTCATGTGCACAGAAGACCGAGTGATGCACCTGTTGGACGATTTGAGAGGTGGGGAGAATAGACGGGGAGGAGTGGGAGGAAAGACCCAAACAAACTGGAATTAGAGAAATCAGAACTAATATACTTCTTTTTAGACTGGATGAGAGCATGACTTTGGAGAAAGCATAGAGGAGGACGCATATTCATGTGGATTATTGATCTCTTTTTTCTCACTCTTTTTCTTTTATCTTCTATCTACTTTATCTTTCTGTGTTCTTATGTTATTTTATCTTTTATTTTTCCTATCTTCTTTTATCTTTTAAGCTTTCTTATGTTTTTATGTTGTTTTTATCTTATATTTATCTTTATCTTATCCATTTTATCTTACTTTATTTTTTTTATTTTTCTTATCTTTCTTCTCTTTGGGAATATGATGGAATAAAACAAAATGACTCACTAAATTATTTGCGCTTCTTTGTTATGAAGCAACAGTCAGTCCATGCAATTTTCGATGCAATTTTCATGATGAGTCATCCAGAAAAAGTCTCTCTGCGTTTTAGTACAGGGGTAAGAGTGCGTACACCCACCTTATCCCACCGTAGGTAGGAGCCTTTGTGGCACTGAGTTAATGATGATGATGATGATCTTTCTTCTCTTTTTGGCTCTGATATCATGGACCAATTCACGTTAGATGACTCCAAAATCTTTTGGGAATAAGACTTGGATATTGTTTTTTTGTTTGTTTCAACTATAATCATATTTGTACTTTAATTTGGATTCTATCAAATAATGTTTAAATATTACTCCCTCCGTCCCATTTTACCTGTCCTACTTTCCTTTTTGGGTTGTCCCAAAATAAGTGTCTCCTTTCCTTTTTTGGAAAGAAATATGTGGTCTACACCATTTCTCTTTATTATACTCAAATCTCAACCACAAATTTTACTTTTTCAATCATTTCATTAATAACCGTGCCAAGTCAAACTAAGACACATAAAATGGGATAGAGGTAGTACCATTAACGATTCTCTTATCCATTCATCAATAAAAAACTTAAAATTTAGAATAAACAATTTCTATGATGTCATTTTCATCTCACAATTTCCATTATTTTATGACATTATTGTTAGTTTGGTAATTAAATATGTTATTTTGAATGAATATTTATTTCTTTTTAGTCATAAATTTTTATAAATGTTTTCAGGTCTTTCTTGCTTGTCTACTGTGTTTGGCCTTGTTGTTGTTTGGTTAGATTCTATGATTTTAATATAAGCCATTTTCTCTCAATAAAAAAGTGAAAATTATTTCGTAGTCGCGCACACACACACATATATATAATATAAAAAACATGTATACATATAAGGGGAAAAATTATAAATATATCCTTTTCTTCGCCTTGCGGGGATGCCTTCGTGCACCGGGTTGCCTTCTATATCCTTTTTTTAAGCTAACGTGTTCCCCATGTTTGTATTCTATATTTTGCAATTATCTTGTTTTTCGTGTTTCCCTTTTCATGTTTCATGTTACTTAGCTATGACTAGTAATAATAATAATGATAATGATAGTAGGATACTCTAATAATACTCCGTATAAGGAAATTCATAATAGTAATAACAATAATATGAAGTTTCCTTCTGCAATATTTCTCCGTGTTTTGTGCTGCTCTATTATGACATATGCATGTATAAGTGGATTAGAAACTGTTGCTAGGTTAGTTGGAATACTTGATTTTATATGCAATTCTCACTCATGCCCTTTTTTAAGTTAATTACTGTACTGTTACTCCTATCACGGAGTTTCGGAAATTAAAAGTTAAATAAGGGTGGAATTAAAAATGGAAAATTAAATGCACACTTACGATAGAAACTGGCATGTCTTACGGGAAATTAAAAGAAAATTAGTTTTTTTAATCTGTCATTTTTCCTTCTCTTATATTTTCATGCAATTCTAATTTTTATTATTCTTTGTTACAAAGTAGTTTACATGTATCTTCTTCCATTGTTTGTGTGGATCCTTTTAATTTTGATGAGGAATCTAAAGTTGTACTCCGCAGGACGTACCAGATTTTGCACCGGGGACACAGAAAAAGGTCTCTGGTGAAGTAATTAGGTGGAATAACGTTTCTGGTGCTGAAAAAATTGATGCAGTGAAATACATTGAGTTACTTGAAGCTGAAGTCGAGGAATTGAATCGTCAAATAGAACGAAAATCTGCTAATGGGCAGAATGAAATATTTGAATACCTTAAGACTCTTGAGCCCCAAAACCTGAAGGTAAGAATTCGAAATTGTCATAATTGTTTCGGAAAATACCAGTTTTGATCCGTCATTTATTAAGAAGTACCAGGTGTAGTTCATTGATTATTGGCACCTCTTTTATTTCCTTGGACATACCCCCAAATCTTTTTTGAACTTTTATATGTAAGATTTCCTCAAATTGACTTTCTCTGTCTTTCTAATACTCCCTCCGTCCCGCTATGATTGTCCCATTTTACCATTTCAATCCGTCCCACTAAGATTGTCTTATACCTTATTTGGTACAATTTGTGTGGCTCTAAATCATTCCTACTTTATTCTTACTTTATCAATTCAATATCAACCACATAATCCCACTTTTATTAACAACCGTGTCACCTTCTCTTGTCCCAAACTTAGGGGGACGGAGGTAGTACAATTTTTCATACATTCGCATAAAATTAAAATTAACATAGGGAACCAAAGATAACCTGTAGGAGTATATATGGAATGACAGATGGAAATATCATTATATCATTTCACAAAAAACACTCTCCCAAAACAGAGTCTTCTTTTAGTTGGGTACATTTTTTAGTTTGAGTCAACTAATCAAGGTAAAAGCTTTAACAAGTTGTGGATGGTGACTTTTAGTCCTAAATTTGATTGACAAAATTGTTTGGAGTAGTTAACTAAAACTTCTTGTCTCCGCTTGGGGAAAGGGGCTCTTGAAGCATGACTCTTATCTTTTGGATGGAGTTTTAATTCATAACTAAACAGTAAAAAATGAAGTGCTAGTAGATGTTATTAGTGGTTTATTACATCCGCATGTAATCATCTTAAATGCTCTTAGAAACTGGATTATAAACAATTGAAATACGCCCTCCGTCCTATAAAACTTTGCCAAATTTCCTTATTTAGCCGTCCCAAAAAAGTTTACCAACTCCATTTAAAGTAAGAAATATGTGGTTAAAGTCATTTCTCTCTCTTCTGCACAAATATCAACCATATAGTTTTTACTTTATTATTCCACGTGCAAGTCAAAGTTGGCCAAGTTTTGTGGGACAGAGCAAGTAATAAATTAAATCTTTCATCGAAATGGAAGTAAAGACGCCGCTATAGTAATCGTTAAAGGACTAAAGATGGAAACAAGTCCAGGGACTTCAAATACTATTTTTTTGTGAAAATTGCCGGGACCAAAATTGAATGTTTTACTAGGTAATTTGCATTTGTTAGAATTACAATACTAAAGTGCCCTCATCTGGCTCTATTTCTTAATGCAAACTGAGTGCCCTCATCTGGCTCTATTTCTTAATGCAAACTGAGCTGAAAACTTCTTAGTGTGAAGCTAAAGCACTCTACTGGTGTGTGGATATTGTTGTATTGTAGGAGCTTACTAGTAGCGCTGGTGAAGATGTTGTGCTAGCAATGAACACATTTATAGAGCGTCTTTTAGCAGTTTCAGATCCCAGTCAAATGAAGGTAGTGTGGTGTAAGCCTTCTTCATGGAACTCTGATCTTATATCTTGTTCTCTTCTAAATGGAAACATTTATAGAGCGTCCGGATTGACTCTTGATCGATTCAGTTCTCCGGGTCGCGTCCTGGTCTGGTTTTGAGTTTTGACAACATAGGACAAAAGAACATATGGACTGACAGGAAATCACCCAAGTCAGGGAATTAAAGTGTGTAGTGGAGGCATTTGGTATCTCCAGTTTCAAGATTTCAGAATTTGCTGTAATAAGGGAATTTTCTAGTTTTAGCAAAGTTGAGGGTGAAGTCTCAGAATTAATCCTTTTTGGATTAATTTTTATATTTAATTTATTAGTAAAAAAACTAATAAAAATATTACTCCCTCCGTCCCGTTAGAAGGTTCCCACTTTCCTTTTTTGGACGTCCCATTAGAAGGTTCCCATTTCCATTTTAGGAAACAATTAACGATCTTAAGTGACAAATTAGTCATTAAATATTAAAAATAATACATTTATAACATCACAGTTATCAATACTAACACATTATAATATATACCTATTAAAATTATTTCTCAAAACATAGCTGAAGTACTTTATTTAATTATCGCCTAAATAACCGTGCCGTTTTGCTATGGGAACCTTCCAGCAGGATGGAGGTAGTAGTTTTTATTAAAAACTAATAAACTAATAAAACTAAATATATTTAAATTTTTTAAAATAAAAATAATAATAAAATTTATGAAAACTTAGGTCTTATATGGATAGTTTTTTATCATTCGGGTCCTAGATTGATAGTTTTCCATCATTCGGGTTCTGTACCGATACATTTCATCTTTCAAGTCCCCGATTGATAATCCATCTATCTTTCGAGTTCTAGATCGATAAAATTCCTAAAAAATTAGTGATTTTTGTGGTATTTCTTCGCAACAACATTGTGACATATTTTAACGCAATGAATTACTAGAAACGTATTGCATTTATTGTCTATTTAAGTACTAATTTGATGTGATATCAAGATTTGAACATGTGGAATGTTTTTATTATTGGGTCATTAAACAAATTACATGGAAAAATTATGTACATATATGAAAAAGTATTTATAGATATATCTTTATATTTTTTATTATTTACGCATTTCCCCATGTTTCGTATCGTATATTTTTTAGATTAGAAATTACGTTTCTCATGTTCCTGTTCCCCGTTTCGCGCTTCCGTGCTACTTAGATTAAAACAAAAAAACTGTGGGTTTTCACTCATTTAATGAATTAGGTGGCGTGGGAAAATGAACAGACCAGACTGCCTGGTAACCTGGTTCGTAACATTGATGACCTGGAAAGAAAACGTAAGGAAACGATGAGTCTTGATATCAGCACGTTGTAGGGAACAAAGAGCCTGTAGGAATGTTTGAAATCAGCTCGTCTTGGTATCCGCACGCTGAAAGGAAACGACTAGTCGGGGGTCCATCGTTTGGTCCGACCGATTCGTTGGAAAAATCGTTCGGTGAGATCGTTTGCGATTGACATGAATAGCGATATCAAACAAGCTAGATAGCGATTGCGAACAAACTGGGTAGTGGGTAGCGACTGGGAAGGACCAGTATGGTAGCGTTCTTTCCGGCAATCCAGGTATCACTAGGCTTATATGATTATTAAATTATGAATGAGAATAATTTTATCCTTTACAAATTTAATTTGATATTAAGTATATATATTTTTTGTTTACTTTTTAGTCAACATTGACCGTGTTTACTGACTTTACTCACTGTTGACCGGGTTGACCCTCCGCATCCGGATTGACTCTTGACCCAGTCAGTTCTCCGGGTCGCGCCCCGGTCTGGTTTTGAGTCTTGATAACATAGGACAAAAGCACATATGGACCAACAACAAATCACCCAAGTCTGGGGATTAAAGTGTATAGTGGAGGCATGTGGTGTTTCCAGTTTCAAGATTAGATTTTAGAATTTGCTGTAACAAGGGAATTTTCAAGTTTTAGCAAAGTGGAGAGTGAATATTCGTGTGGAGGATGAATTTATTTTCTCTCTTTTTTCTTTTTCCTTTTATCTTCTTTATCCTTTTATGCTTTTTATTTTATACAGAGGCAGAGATAGGGGTGGGCCAACCTTGGCCCTGGCCCAGCCCAAATTTAAAAAATGCCTTTTTTTAGTGTAAAAAATTTCCGGGCAAAAAAGTTTCCAAAAATATTCTTTGTATCAGCCCAGTCTGGCCCAGTGTCCTGGCTTCGCCCCTGATTTTATATATATCTTTTTATCCTTTTTGGCTTGGATGTTGATGTTGTTATATTCCAAACATGAGCATTCCACGTTACCCTATGGGCTGCTTGGTCCAAGGTAATGTAAATACTTTGTTTTGCATTCCCATGTTTGGTTCTAGTTATATTGTCTTACACAATTTGAATGGAATGAGATTCTCCGACTTGTCTTAGGCATTTAGGCTATGTAAGATTCCTCATTCTTTTCCAGTTTTCCTCATTTTCTCTCATTTTTTCCTTGACCACTATTCAAAGCTGAAGTTTCATTCTTAATTATGGGTATCAAATCTGTAAACTGTGGTGTTTTCATGTATCTGTTTTTTTGTGTATATATATGTTGATGTTCCTCATTCAATGTGGGGGAGGGGTGCTGCAGATGAGCGTAACAGAGACAAGTGTTCCTGAACTGGCAAAGCTACTATACTGGCTTATGGTCGTCGGTTATAGCATTCGCAATATTGAAGTTCGGTTTGATATGGAACGGGTGCTTGGGACTTCCCCTCCAAAGCTTGCTGAACTACCACCGGCCAGCGAAAATATGTAGAGGGAGCCCTTACTGCTGCAATGTTTATTTTTTCATTCACGCTCAAATTTGGGGTCTTTGCTGGTCCAAGTTTTGCATACCCATTATATAGAGCCCCTGGCCCCCTAGTGCTTTTTTAGAACGGAGTGTTCAGCACGGTTTTTTGCAGCATGAATGTTTAATTTTATCTCCTTATCTTTTTTAATTCTAGAGATTCTTGTATTATACTCCGTAGTTACAAAATTGTACTCGCATTTTATCATTTTTATGTAGCTGCTAGCTGGTTTTTGGTTCTTTTGTAGACGTATTTAATAATTTTTAATTCGTTTGTACTGTTTTGCTCATTCCGGTTCCACACCTATTTGTTCCGTGCTGATTCCTGGGCTGGTTGCCTGGTTTGGCCATATCCTTAAAATTTTAGAATAAATTAAATACTACGTATGTTATTAAAAGTGGAAGTAGAATGAGAATTTTCTGTTGTGAAAAAGTGATTCTGTGTTCGGTACTAATTTTGTCATATCAAATAGAGAATAAGTTTAAAGGGTTTGGATAAATTGCTGTTGAGAATTACTTTTGTGTTAATTACTCCGTATAAGTATTGATTATGTATGTACAAATGTTTGGACATTATGGGATGTAAAAAACGCATATCCTTATGCCCTTATCCTTTCATTCCTTTGTGGGTGGTGATTTGGATGTTTGGACATGAATATGAGATTAGCACATGAATAATACTAAAAAGTAAAAACTAACCAACGATAACATCCAAGTCTTAATCCCAAAAGTTTTTGGAGTTGACTAACATGAATCGATTCATGATATCGATGCCAAAAAGAGGAGACATACAAAAACAAGAAAAAACAAAATTATAATAAAACAGATAAGATAAAGATAAATAAATATAAAATAACAATATCATAAATATATAAGAAAGATAAAAGATAAAAAGGTAAAAGAGTATAAAAAGTTAGAAGATAAAAATAACATAAGAACATAAAAAGATAAAGAAGATCAATGAAAAAAGTGAAAGAGAAAGGAAAGATAGATAAAAGATCAATCGTTCAAGCGAATGTGTGTCCTTCACTTTGCTCTCTCCAAAGTCATACTCTCATTTAACCCAAGAAGACGCATATCAGTTCTGATTCCTCTAATCCAAGTCTGTTTGAGTCTTCCCCTTCCTCTCCTCTCTGCCTCTTCTCCCCACCCCTCAAGCCATCTAACAGGTGCATCACCCGATCTTCTACGCACATGCCCAAACCATCGCAGATGAGACTCCTGCATCTTATCTTCTATATGTGCTACTCCCACCTTTTGTCTGATTATCTCATTCCTCAAGCGGTCTTTCCTGGTATGTCCACACATTCAACACAACAGACACATCTTTGTCACACTCATCTTTTGAATGTGACATTGTTTCACGACCCAACACTTTACACCATACATTAATACAGACCTAATTGTTGTTCGATAAAATTTACCTTTCAGTCTAGTCGGCATACCTTGATTGCATAGAAATCCTGATGCACTCTTCCATTTCATCCACTCAACCCTGATTCTATGGGATACAGCTCAATCTAATTCACCATCTTTCTGAATTATGGATCCCAAGTAACGGAACATATCACACACCAATATCTCCCTACCATCTAGAGTAATCCCATTGTTGCTACTAATTCTACATCCACCAAACTTGCACTCCATATACTCAGTATTGCTTTGGCTCAGTATGAAATCTTTGGTCTCCCATGTTTGTCGCCATACTCCCAACTTTGCTTTAGCACTCGATTCTTTCTCATCAATCGACTTCGTAAGTTCATCAAATATCATGCACCACGGTATACCTTCTTGAATCGACTTCGTAAGTTCATCCATGACTATAACAAATAAGAAAGGATTTAGAGCTGATCCTTGGTGCCCGATAGTAATAGGGAACTCTGTGGTCCTCCCAACACTAGTACGGAACTACGGATACTTGTAGTACAAGCCTCATACATATCCATGATGATACTAATATACTTACGTGATATGCCTTTTCAAGTTAAGGCCCACCAAAGGACTTCTCGAGGTACCCTATCATATGTCTTTTCTAAGTCAATGAACACCAAATGCAGATCGTTTTTAGTGTCTCTACACTTCACCATTTGTCTAAGAAGGTGAATGACCTCAATTGTTGAGCGTCCAGGCATAAAATCAAACCGATTCTCCGAAACTTTAACACTTTTTCGAAGTCTTTGCTCAACCACGCATTCCCAAAATTTCATGGTGTGACTCATAAGCTTAATCTCTCGATAGTTGGCACTTCCTTGTAAATCACCCTTATTTTTAAAAAGGGGGAGTGAGAGTACTCTTCCGCCAACTCACTGGCTTTTTGTTGTTTCTCCAAATCACGTTGAAGAAACGTGTTAGCCACTCGATGCCATTCTCTCCCAATCTAGGCCATCTAGGACAACTGCTTTCAACGCCCCATCTTTCGCGCCTCTTTAACTTCTGTTGTTTGGATCCTTCTCACGAAGTCCCGATTTACCATACACTCAGGGATAATAAGATCATCAATACCTTGCACTTTATTCTCGTTGAACAAGGTATCAAAGTATGACCTCCACCTCTCTTTTATTTCATCATCCTCCATTAGTACCCTTTGATTGACATCCTTCACACACTTTTTCGATATCTTGTGTCATATGGTCACGAAGGCGAGCAAGTCTGTAAATATCTTTTTCTCCTTCCTTAGAGTCCAGTTTTACATACAATTCCTTGTTCACTTTTTCTCTTGCTTCCTTTATAGCTTTCTTTGCTCTTCTTCTAGCCTCCTTGTACACCTCTATGTTCTCGTCGCTCCAACTTTTGCCCAATTTGTTATAGCATTTCCTTTTCATCCTTATTGCTTGTTTCACCTCATCATTCCACAAAGATGTGTCATTTTTTGGTGGCAGACATCCTTTAGATTCTCCGAGTATCTCCTTCGTCACTTTGTTAATGGCGGACTCCCGATCCATTGATAACCACACATCATCCACATGTGTGTCATTATCAATAGATCATACATCTTCTTCCAACATTTTGTGTGTAAAACTTTGTTGGAGATTCCGCTCGAGCCTCCAACACTTTATCTTTGGCTCCCCTTGTACCTTAACCCGCATTCTCTTTTTACCTTAGCTTGAAAATCAAGCACAAACATCATATCCTGAGTGACAACATTCTCACCTGGGATAACATTACAATCGGTGTAGCTAGTTCTCCAAGTCGTCCGTACTAAAAAGTAGTCAATTTGGGTACTATTAGCTCCACTTCTATAGGTCACAATGTGATGGTCTCTTTTCTTAAACCAAGTGTTCATCACAGCCAACTCATATCTCGAGGTAAAATCTAAAATGTTTTTCTCCACTTCATTTCTAGTGCCAAAACCATGTCCGCCTCTCAAAACTAAAAACTAACCAATGCACAAAAAAGAGATTTTAAGGAAGAAAAAACAATTCCAAAAATAAGTTTAGAATATATCAAAAGAACTATTACACCCTCACTATATCCATCAAATCTGTTATAGTGATCAATGTCTGACTCTGTATCACAAGGATCGATGCCACGGTGACATCACGTTCACAGTGAGTTAAGCCATAGTGACACCGACGTTCACAACGACAACTCTAAGCAATTGTGACACCACCATTCACAGTGACAACTCTTAGACAGTTACAGTTACACAATTACAAATTAGTTATCAGTGACCTAATTAATGACACTACGGACTCATTGCCGCCGTCACGACCCGCCAATGACAATCCATTCACAATGACGAGCTCGCGTCAATTAGAATTACAACCGTCTAGTGACTTGATTTTTAAACAAATTTAAATTACCGCCACGGACGTTGAGACACCGCCGCCATAGCCGCTGAGACACAACACCACGGCTCCCATGACGCTGCCACCCCACACACCACCTACTGCCCTCTTCCCCATACCCCATCCCCAACTCCCTTAAAATTCATACCCAAAATATATGCTAATTATAGCAAGTTTAGAAAGAATTTTCCAAAAACAATTTTAAAGTTCAAAAAAGTTCAAATTGCAGCGGAAGAAAAATAGTCAATGGGTGTTACCGCCACATTCAACTATCTCTTAATCGAATGCATAGGCTAAACCACAATCCAAAAATAATTCAAGTACTTAGGTGTTGAATTCTTAAAAATAATTTAAATGTATACATCTTCTCAAAACTATAATAAATAGTAGATAGGTGATTAATAGCTAAATAACTACGTGATCTAACACAAGTCTCATCATCAAGTATAATCATCATCACATGCACAAAATAAAGTGAAGAAAACAAAACAAAGAGAAAGGAACAAAAGTTAGTTTTTAGCTAAGTAAGTCACACTCAACCACGTAAAATAATATAATTTGTCAAAAATAGTTTTTGTGCATAAGTATAGTCGAAAATCAGTAGTTTTGCAAAATACCTCACTTGTCTTTAAAATATTAATCATACTTTAGTAAAATACTAGCAATTCTCAAAGTTGTCATATCTTAGTTAAAGGAATTTATATTCATCAATCCATTTTCATAAACTTTAAAATGATTAATATAATCTCGAGGTAGTAAAATATTTCTTTGAAAACATGCTCACTCTTAGATGCATCTCAAAATCAAATAGTTTCTCGGGTCTTAATTAATTCTCAAGAGATGGACAGAACACAAGATTCTCTAGCCTAGCGAGCATGTGGGTCACCGCAGCCCCCCAAGATTTGCCCCACAATTGCAAATCTCATCGGTCACAAATAATTGGAAGATAGACATCTACCTTAAGTATGCACACCATCTAAAAGGAATTACAAGCCCTCCGAGTAGTAAGAAGTCTAAATAGTCAGGATATGTTTCTACTAACTACTCACATATAGGAATAAGTCGTCACTAATCAAATTAAGAATTACTACTACCATCACAAAATAAAAGGATGATTACATTCTAGTGTGCAGAATGTCTATCTAATCACTCTCAAGTCTCAAACAATCTCTAACCTACTAGCATCCCGGGATTCCCGGGTTTCTCTGCGGGACACTCACATGTCACAATTACGAAATCATTGTTCATAGTTCAATAAAGATAATTTGATTTGTCTCATATAGTTTCTCAAAATATCTAGATCATATTTAGATCTCAAAATTATATGCATAGCATATTAAGTTCAAAGTCACAATTCACAAATTAGGGTTTACCCCAAAACTAGTTCCAAAATAATAAGGAAAAATAGATAAGAATAATCTCATAGCCAGGTTCCTAGCATGAAGATGCCTATCCTTTCTGAGTCTGCTAACACTGCAGTTAACACTTTCTCTGTTGCCCAGGGTACT